AGAGAGAGAGAGAGAGAGAGAGAGAGAGAGAGAGAGAGAGAGAGAGAGAGAGAGAGAGAGAGAGGCCGCACGCGGCACTGCCAAGCCCCGACCTCCACCGTGGATGCCGCCGCGGCACCGATCTTCGCCGCGCAGTCGGCGCCGCGTTGTAGTGCCCGGCCTCGGCCGAACACGGCCGAACGCGGCCGAACGCGGCCGAACACGGCCAAACACGGCCGAATGCGACCGAACGCGGCCGGAGCGGCCATGACGGCCACGCCGTGGATACCACCGCGGGGGAGGCTGGGGCAGACCATATGAATGGGTCTGATGGGTCTGTGCTAGAGACCACGCCCGCCTCCGGTGCGGGCAGGGGGAGGACTACGGAGGGGCCAGCGAGGACGGCATCGACGGTGCGGAGGGACCATCTACGAGACGACATTAGCGGCGAGGCCAAGGAGTGCGAATCTCGGCGTGCGCTGTGCGTAGGGAAGGGGGGGGGGGGGTGTTGTGGGACGATGACGGATGGTGCCGGGCCCAGCGGTGAGGGGACTGGCGGTGCACGGGGGACTTCGGGGGGGGGATTCATCCTGCAGTCTGATAGGGAGATGGCAAGGTTGAGGCGGGGCAGCTCGATTTGGAACTACGTCACCGCGGGGCAACTTGTCGGGAACTAGTCGAAGATGCATGGGGACCGGAAGTTGCGTTGCAACTTTTGCAACCATGTGGGGCAGGGGAATGCGACGAAGGTCGCTCGCCATTTCACACAGCCCAAGTACTGCAAGATTGCGGGGATGAGAGTTCTTGCAGACATCTGGAACAACACGGGGTACACGTTCGTGGAGAAGACTGCTAGGCAGGTCCAGAGGTGGATGGCAGATGAGGGGATTCGGGATACGAGATCGACCACGGGTGGGCAGCGGCCACGGGCAGACGAGGCAGAGACGGACGAGATGCAGGACTTCCTCGATGCGCAGGAGGGGGGCGAGGGCCGGGTCGGCGAGGCGGGGATGCGAGACGAGGCAGCTGGACGCTGCGAGCCCGATCTGCCTGGGGAGGAGGTAGTGATGACATCGAGAACGGATGGCACGGCGGGACGCGGTGCGAGGGCGTCACGACCTGAGTTGGAGCGCGCTAGGAGGGAGAAGAGGAAAGTGGGGGAGGAGGACGTTGACGTGCGGGACACGGCGAGGGAGAAGAGGGCACGTCAGACGACGATCGACGAGCTATACGCGAAGGAGAAGTTGAGCGAGTTCACTGACACGTGGCTGAAGTGGATCTACGAGAAGGGGTTGTCGTTCAACGCTTTCAGAGGGTCGGAGTTCCAGAGGGTGCGTCAGGCGGAAGAGAGAGTCGCCCGCAACTTTCGCTTCCAATTTCCCTCCTACAGGGTTATAGCGGGCACCGGGATCCCTTCGCAGAGGGAGTAGGTGGCGACGATGGTGAGTGAGGTGCGGGCCGCTTTCCGGCACACCGGTTCCACCATCCTCTCCGACGGAAGGAAGTCGCGTAGCGGCAAGCCGCTCGTGAACTTCCTGGCCAGGGGCGCCAACGACGCCCTGCTATATGCGACCGTCGCACGTGACGGGTCAGTCGCTGACACGGCGGATGTCGTGTATCGCATGTGGCGAGCCATCATCTTGTCCTTTCTTGCAAAGGACGTGATCGGCTTCTGCATTGGACTCCGCCAGTAACTATACGGCGGCGGCCCGCAATCCACCACCGACCCCGACGCAGACATCAGGAGAATCACTTGGCTTCCCTGCTCCACCCACGTCTGCAACTTGATGTTGTCAGACGTCGGAATGCGAGTGGGGTGCGTTAAGGAGACCATCATCCGTGCCCGAGCGTTAGTGCGATTTATTAGATCGCACGGCGCTGCGTTCGCCCTTTTCAGGAGGATGAGCCCTCGTGTCACGCTGGTTGAGCCCGTTGAGATCCGGTTTGCATAAGTTTTCCTGATGCTGACGTGTCTCAAAGGCCGACGGGACGCGTTAGAGAGCATGCTGCACGGCGACGCATGGGCTTGCATCCCCTGGGAGCGCAGGCTTGTCTCCCAGGCACAGTGGGTTCAGCAGCAGATCCGCGACGGCGAGTTCTGGCGATGCGTTGACTGTGCCATCCGCGTTATGTCGCCCATCCACCAGCCCTTGAGGAGGATGGATAGAGGGGGGATGATGATGTCCATCGTTTACGAGTGGAGTCAGCATCTTCTGAAGTTGATGAGGAGGGTGGATGTGCCGGCGGACATGGTCGAGCCGTGCGTGCGCGTGCGCGAGGTTGCCGTCCCGCCGAGGAGGGTGGATGTGCCACCGGTCCCCCTGATATTATGAGTCGTTGCAGACGACCACCGACGACGCCCGTGTGGTCGAGGAGTGCGACACATTTCTTCTCGCACAGACTGGCGGCGATCCGGTCGGCAAACTGTATAGGACAGTCCGTGAACAGATCAGGCGTTTCCACTCTCGGCGGGAGATTGAGGAGATCGGCAGCTATCCAATGCCGAGGCCGACGACTGTCCGGGGGACCACGAGACTCAGCGTTGTGCCCAGTGGTGGTTTGATCACGGATGTCATCACCCTGAGTTGCGCACCATCGCCGTCTATATGATGCACTTGTGGACGTCCGCCTCTCCTGCAAAGAGGAACTGGGCGCAGCACGAGCGGATCAACACGGCGAGGCGCCACAAGCTTGGTTTTGCCAAGCTTGCACAGCTGGTTGAGATTGCCAGCAATCTCAAACTGGCCGGGTGCGCACAGCAGGGTAGTGCCTACGTGTTGCCCTGGGTTATGGGGACCGGTTAGGAGGAGACCGCGGGAGGGCAGGAGGACGACGAGGGGGATGTGGACCCCGAGGTGTGGGGAGCGCGACCTGCTGGCAGTTTCAGTGATCAGGACATCGAGCGCTAGGTCATCGCTTTCCATGCTTGTCGACCGTCCAGAGCCGACCCGGCCGAGGACTACGGGAGCGCCCTCGGGATCGTCGATTCTCTCCCTCTCATCATCGGACTATGGGAGCGCCCGAGCCTACCAGGCCGAGGACGCGGTCGGCATCGGCAGCGGAGAGACAGCAGACACCAGCGACCGAGCACCATGAGCCTGGCATGAGGGGACCGGGCTTGCTGACATTCCGGAGATGGAGAGGACTCCATCTGGCGCCGGTGTTCGCCACCGCTCGCCGTCTGAGTTGCGCACCGACGACTTCTACGTCGGCGGCTCTAGCGGGGGTTTGGGGGATCTCAGTGCCCCGAGACAGAGGGGTGCCTCGCTGTCGGACGTGCTCCTCGATGATTCTGATGTGCGGGGCCATGTAGAGATCGCGGAGGAGCGGGATGCCCGATTGGACAGAGAGGAGGAGGAGGGGCTGCGGACTTTGCCAGGATGGGAGGGTCGTTTCACTTATATGGAGGAGCAGCGCCGACGGAGGGAGTTGGAGACAGGGGGGGGTGGCAACGGTGACAGAGGCGACGTGGGTTTTGGTGGGGAGGCTGATGCGGGGGCGGCGCGACAGGGTGTCCCCCCGGGTGTTGAGGGAGATGGTGTCCCCACGGGTGTTGAGAGAGATGGTGGCGGCGAGGACGAGGACGAGGACGAGGAGGGGTCCGACCATGGAGACGACCACGGCGACGACGGCGACGACCATGGCGACGGTGGCGACGACGACGACGACGGCGACCACGACGGCAACCACGGCGACGGCGGAGGCGGCGACGGCGGCGACGGCGGGGGCGACGACGATGAGGGTAGGCTGGCTTTGGTCTTGAGGGACCCGTCAATGCCTTCACTACCTCTCACACGGCCCGAGGCCTTCGCTCAGGCTGGTTTTGTTGCCAATGATTTGGCGCGACTCGGTTCACATGACTGTTTCCCCCACACGGGCCGCAGGAGCAGCGAGAGGCGCCCTCCTGGAGGGGCGTACTCACCCCCACCCTACATCGTGGATAGCCCTAGATGGTGAGGTTCTTCGCCCAGTGGCATTAGAGGAAGGGAGTCCGGGACGGTTGATGGTGGGTCGGGCCGCCGCTGTGACGGCAGCGGATCTGCCGGATCGATGCCTCCGCCACCCACACGGAGCACGGAGGGCGGCGCCGACGCGACTACCGCCCGTGCGCCCGTTGCCGATTCCCCGCCGCCTGTCGCAGGTGGTGTTGCCGGCGGATGGGCAGCTTATCGCCGGGTCTCGGACAGGATGAGGGAGGATTACGATGCCGGGAGGGGCGCTTTCGCAGGACGTTTGTCACCTCGGTTTTAGGTTGCGGGCAACAGCGAGGGTGGCTCCGGACGTCCGAGTCTTCACATGGCAGGCCGGATGCTCGGTTTGTCTCGATCAGCGACGAGGAGAGTTTTGATCCCACCGCCGATTACGGCCCTAGGGACAGTTGCGGACATGCAGCAGAGTCAGCACTACACATCCGGTGAGGAGGGGTTGTTGATGCGGAGCGGGACTAGACGACACAGCGTCGTCACGGAGGTTGAGGCTCGACTCGCAGCAGAGATCGCTGCCGGCCAGGCTGCATTGGACGCGATTCAGAGGCATCGACAGACGATTGTTGCAGCGGGGGCCGAGGACGAGGACACGGACACACAGTCCGAGCCGATCGACAGTGCAGTCCGCAGACATAGAGCGGCCCTGTCCGAGGCAGCCGTGGTAGCATAGGCGGCATCAGTGCCGTACCCCCGTTCACCGTTCACGGGGTCTGTGAACGGAGCCGGTCATAGAGTTCACATAGTTCACGTTCACGGGAGTTCATGGAGTTCACGTTGAGCGGTATGTTTTTTATTTTTTATTTTTTGGCTGGGGGAGTTTTTTTTTTTTTATAGGAGGGTGGAGGACATCGAAGGGTAACTCCCTATAATTTTTCAAGTTTTTTTTTTCAGGGATAATTTTTTTTTTTATTAAAAACGAAAAAACAAAAATCAACCAGCCAAAATAAGCATTTTCTTTTGCTATTTTGTAGGTCATTTTGATTTTATTTTTTTTTCAATGTCACCACGCTGTGGGGCTTGAGGGGAATGTATCTGGGGGAGCCCAACAAGAAAAAAAACACCACTCTTTAGTGGTCGGCCCGTTCACCGTGAACGGCCGTTCACAAAGAAAACACCAAATGAACGGCCGGTCACGTTCACGGGTCCGGCACTGGGCGGGATACATCAGCGGTGCGCAGGGCACAGGTGGTGGAGGGGGCCCGGGAGGAGCGCGTGGTCGACAGTCCACCGGGAGAGGCCGCGGGCGTCCTTCCGGAGGTAGAGGATCTAGACCTTCCGCAGGGAGAGGGAGGCGTTAGTGCCTTTTTTACTTGTTTTTTTTTTGGTTTTTTTTTTTACAGGACGTCGTTTTGACAGGGTAGTTTCATATTCATGTTGATGTTGTTGCTCGAGGTTGTGTCATAGTTTTGTACATGACGCTGTTTTCATAGGGTAGTTTCCACAGGGACGGATGTTACGATCACCTTCGTTTTTTTTGTGAGGTACCGTGTGTCACGGTTTGGTTGACGTTGACAGGTCTGGTCTTGGTTGACGTTGACGGGTCCGGTTTTTGGCTTCAGACACGTACATATGCATTTGGAGTGGAGTTTTTTTTTCATTGTCTTGTTCTTCTACACGCTCCTCTTCCACACTCGCTTTTGCATGTGAGTCACTGTTGTTCGGTGAGTGGTTTGTTGTCTTAAATGTCCCGGATAGAGAGGAAATTGTTGTCGCAATGTTGCAAATTGTATCTTTGTCTGATGCCACACACATGCATGTTATGGTTGCCCTCATTGTGAATGTGTTCTAAATTTGGTATGCCAAATATGGATGATATGCTAATCAATGTGTTATTTCACCAGCCTCACGAATGAAATTGATGCATGCCTCTGCTCTGCCATGCACACCCCCATCCAGGCCCCACCCAACCCCCGCCCAACCCCCACCCAACCCCCGCCCAACCCCCACGCCCCTGATGTCCAAGTTCACGTACCCTGTATCCCACCACTTGCAGTGGGAGACTATGTACTTGCACTTCAACACTTGAACCCAAACCCACGCAGTGCCCCCAAGGCCCCCCCCCCCCCCCCCCCC